GCTGCGTTCCTGCACCCGCCACCTACCCCAAACCCTGGCTGTGCTGCTCACCCCAGGAAGCGGAAGAGCCAGATCACCTAAGGCAGAGTGTGCTCCATCATGGGCAGTGTGGAAAGAGCAATGGTCAACAGAAACTTGGGCTGAGAAGCAGGAATAGATAGCAAAGGACAAGTAAGACAACGAGATATCTTAGACTGAATCTCAGCTCTTAGATGTTGCCTCCCAAAGGAGAAAAATACCCCAAACCTAAGTGTTAAGGGCTGATCATGACTCAGTGTCAAACCATCAGTTCAAGCCACAGTGGTTTAAGCAAACATTTTTTTTAGATCTTGCAACCACACATCAGAGTGTATTAACACAGATATGGCTGGGGGACAGCTTAAGAACCAGGGTTTTGCCACAGCTAGAATGTGTTCACACTTGAGAAAGGGTTTAGAAATCTGTTCATTTTCAGGTCTTAGTCACACTTCCCAGCTGACTCACACCTCCCAGTCCATGCATGAAGCTGGATACTACACCATTCCAGGACTACAACCTGGACAAAACATAACGATGTAGACATAGCTTTGGCTGAATGAGTTCATAACTGCTATTGGTTGATTGCAGAATGAAATAAAGAGGAAACAAACAAACAAATAAAAGAACTACTGGAAATACACATAAAATGTTCAAAGATAAATCTTAGGCTTCAGACAGGTTTACAGGTGCTTTTTGACATGTAAATATTTTTCTGATGCTCAAAATTAGAAATTATTGCAAAACAAATGAATATACAAAATAAGAGGGATTAGAAAATATTCCAGGTGTATTAAAGTAGGGTAGATAGAGTGGATAGAACAAATGGCATAATTGATAGAACAAATGGATTGGGTAGTGCAGGATGCTGGTTTAATAGAGCATAATGTCAACTGGAATTATTTGGGTTACTGATCTGATGTGAATTTTGGATCTTTTATCTTATTGAAGCTGCTTGTTTCTATAAAATATTTATCTGTTCACAGGAGCAAGCACTAAAACACGTATCCATCTCCTAGTTTTGCTTTAGCTGTCAGTCTACACAAGAAATCTCGCTATCTCTGTCTGTCCTAGTGAGTGTCTGAACATTTAATGCAAAATGGAAAAGCTGCAGAAGGACAGGCTTAGAAGGCCCCTTTCAGATTCTCTCTGCATATCTCAGGATCAAAATGCCTTTTTCTCTGCACTTCAACTCACTATTATAACAACTACCAGGTCAGTGACACATGAAATGTAAGAATCATGAGTCTGCTGAAAAGTTGGACAGACTTTGAAAAATTCCTCCCGTTATCTCACCATGGTGGCTTTTGCAGGAACCTGGATGCTATAATAGAAAAAGAGAAGTTTAAAACATACTTTTTTTTTTTTTTTTTTTTTTTTTTTTTTTTTTTTTTTGAAAACTTACTAACTTTTCCTGTGGTTTATCACAAGACTAAAATTAGCTTGGCCAGATGCATTCAGTCCTTTGAATCACAGAAGCACTGATTCTTCCGACCAGTTCCTAGCAGACAACTTAAATTGTTCCAACTTAGAGCAGAAATGAATGTTATCTGTGCATTGGCATGAATGGGAAACACTTTTGTCCATAGCCTGAAAAGAGGAGGGGAGATTGGACAATACTTGGTAGTGCCTCTGGTTCCCCTTGTCAGGCCTCTAGTGCTAAGGAAGTCAGCCAATTGAAACACAAAGGCAAGTGAGTTCTTTTTGCAAATAAGCATGGGAATATAGAAAAAAACCCTCCACACTAATTTTCCACGAGTGTTGCAAGAGCTACTTAAATGAAAGGTCAACTTAAAAGCTGAACACCATTTTGTATTTGTCTTCCTCAGTAAAGAGAAGGACCAGGTATTTTAAAATTTGGTGTTTACATAATGCTGTCTCTTATACAAAACATGTTAGTGAAAACAAAGCTGTTAACCCACTGAACAGCTCACCTGCTAATGCCTTTTGTCCCTGAAGTACTTCACCGTCTTTTGCATCTGTGTCCTTTTCCTGTTTAAAAGGCCCTGGTCATTCCAGCAAGGGAAAGACAAACAACCTTATATGGGAGCCAGGAACAAGACTGTAGGAGAAATGAGAAGTATACACATGAATATTGGTAATTCTTCTGTGTGGATGTCTCGTGTTAAAATCAGCTCACAGAAAATTTAGACTAGACAATTGATTTAGCAAATCTTGAGTTAATTTATCGAGTCAAAATGTAGGCCACAGATGCAATAGTCTTTAAAGCAGTGAAAGCAGTATTCTTATTTCACAATGTAAACATCTAGTGTTTCACCACTTGGGCATTTACTAAATGAGATAAGAAAGTTTATACAATTTGCTAACATGTTTTCTAAACCCAGTACTCTGGTACAATGTGCCTATTCATGCATGATGTTCCACAGGGCATTTTGTCCTTGGTGGTTCCAGTGTGCTTTATACCTTATTGCATGCCAGAGAGCCTCTAGCATCATCAAAAGTCATTGGAAGACACTAGAGCTTCTCATACCTGTGGTACCAACTCTCCAGACCTATGTAGCTTTTGTTACTCTCTTGAAGTTGTGGAGGATGACTTTTGAAGTGTCCCAGGACTCCAGCTCAAAGATCTGTCATGTTTCTGGATAAGGAATGCCAACTGTTGGCTAGCTACCTTCATCTCACTTAATTTCAGCCATGCTAAGGTAAAAACAAGGTACAAACATTCTAGCAGGTTATTTTGTGCAGCTTTTTACTGGCTCTTGACTGAAACATGATCCTTCAAGGTTATATTAATTAACCATTTTTTTGGGTGACACCGGGCTTGGAATGACTGATACCCAATTCCCTCCTCTCAGGATAACTGTAAAAAATTTCAGTGTGATGTTATGGAACAAATTAAAAATATCAGTGTGCAAAGGGATATCAGTGTGCAAAGGTCAACATGGTTGTCTATAATCATTAAATAATTCAGCACAGGAACTGGCCTACATTTTCCAGGTTGCAAGACTGCAAGGAAAGATACAGATTTCAGGCTGAGTTCCACAAACACCTTGTCGTGATACCTTGTCACCTCACAAAGACAGCTGCTTCTCCCTCTTCCACCTCTTTTGTTCCTGTTTCAAGCTGCCAAGGTCCACTCCACCTTGGTGTCAGCTCTGGCACTTGTTGCACCCTCTGACCATCTGCCCAGCTCTGCTCACTGGCTCAGAAGAAATTCTCCGCTTCTGCTATGCTTCTGCCTGTTTAGTGAATTGAATTGCAGCAAGAAGAGGTCCTAAAAGTGGGAAAACTAGCATAAGACACATTGCAGATTGTACTGCCAGAGCCTGGAAGAACAGTGTATCTCCTTTCAGCAGCAGTGAATGGCTGAAATTAGCCAAATCCAGGTGATAGAGCCAAGGACTTAACAGAAATGGTTTGCAATTGTACATTCACAAGAAATTGTCTTTCCTTCAGTCATGTGATAAAGTGCTTGATAAAAATTACTGTGTGCATTCTTTGTGCTAAAGATAAGGTCAGATGAGATGGTTGTTTCAATTCCCTTTTTGCTTCCAGCTCTGTGAATCCGTACATTGTATATTTGTAGTATATATATATATGTAGTATATAGTATTATATATTTGTAGTATTTGTAGTGGAATTAGAGGGTGTCTGCAAGTATTCAGATTAAATGCATGTCTTCCAAATTCACAGAAAGTAATCTCAAGGTGTAGTCCTACGTGTCCTCTCTCCCTGGCCCATTCCACAAATGAAACAAAGGCAGATTGTGTTTTTTCCCCTTTGCCATCCATGGACCTCTAGTGCTCTTTGAGACCCACGAAGGTGCTCATTAAAGGGACTCCACTGGATTGAAACAAAGGTCCATCTAGTCCTGAATTGATCTCAGTGTCTCTAAACAGATGCTTAGGGAAGAGCAGGGAAAGCATATATGATGTGTCACACAAGTGCTTGCCTTGTGAGGCAAATATTTTTAGAACAGAGAATTTCCTGAGCTGAATGTGGCTGCTGTCTGCTTAGTAACCCTCTGCAGATTTGTTTTCCAAATATTTTTTTCCTTTATTCCAAGTCCATTTTTTTACATCTATTACCCCTTTGGTAATACCACAAATCTACTATGGGTTGTGCAGAGAATCACTTTTTTCTCGTTGTCTGTAGCCTGGTTACCACCAGGGTCACCTGATTCCCTCTTAGTTCCTCACCTTGTGGTTGTAAAATTATTGTTTTGGTCGTAAATCTATGACAGTATTGCAAATACTTCAGCAGATGCAATTTCCATGCACATAGAGTATGTGCAGGCAGAAATAAAGGCAATGAGTAGACAATCAAGGTATTACATGTGTTTGTAAATGAAAACCATGGTTGGACCACTGCAGAAGATGGTTCCTCTTGATTTTTTTTAAAAAAGACAGCGGTTTTTTTACCCCATCAAAAATGTTGACAGTGTTCATGACCTTGCAATTTACTCCCACTGCCAAGACTAAATGTTCCTCTACCCTCAAGAATTCTGCATCCTCTGTCACCTGGAGAGCAAGAGTTGAGGTGGGCAGGGGACCAAGGTCTGAAAACAACCCCTGGGTAGCGGATAAGCAGAAATGCAGACAGGAGGAGGGCAGTAGCAATTTCTGAGGGTGAAACCTTAGATTACTAGCTCCTTTTCTACGACCCGCCCCGTGCTGCATCTATAAGGGTCACTGCCAAGGCGCATCCCGCAGTACCTGGGCGGGCGGCAGCGGCATCCCAGCCCGCGTAGCCGGCTCGGCTTCTCCCAAGCGCTGCCTCTCCGTGTAGCCCGTGCTCCCGGCAGCCCCGTGTCACAGGGAGGCCCGGGGACTTTGCACCCGCGGGAAGGGAACCACGGACTAGAAGAGCTGTGCCTCCAGCCGCCTCCTGCCTCCCCGGCCGGGCTGGAGAGGAGGGAGCAGCGCGGCAGCAGCCGCCTGTCTCGCAGCCCCCGGCGGAGATCCGGCCCCTTCCCGCGGGGGCAGCGCCGACCCTGCCGTGTGACAGCCGGGGGGGGACGCTGCTGCCTCGGCGAGCCCGGCTGCGGCGGCTGCAGCCATGTGTTTCTCCGCCTGCCAGTGACACAATAACACGGGAAGCGGCGGGAGGGATCCGAGCCTGCCGAGGGGAAAAGTGACCTGACCCGCTCAGGTGAGCTGAAGCGGCGGGGGGTGGCAGCCGCTGCCTCCCAGCCCCGGACGAGCTCTGCGGCCGCCGGGGCCGGGCGGGAGCAGCCCCGGAGCTGCCGGCGGGGGTGGCGCGGCCGGGGGGCGGCGGGTCCCCGGTCCCCCCTCACCCGGCGGTGCTGTGCCCGCAGGCCGGCGGCGATGGAGGAGGGCATGAGCAGCATGCAGCAGAAAGCGGCGGAGCTGGAGCACATGGCCGAGGTCCTGCTCACCGGCGAGCAGCTCCGGTAAGCGGTGCCTTCCTCCCGCTTTGCCGGGGACGCGTACCCGGGGTCAGCAGCAGCCCCGCTGACGGCGAGGCTGGGGAGGAGGAATTGCGGGTCGGAGTGCGAGGGTCTGTGCCCGCGGGCTTTCCTTGCACCGGAGCACCTGCCCTGCTTCCATCGCGTCCTCGGGCTCCGGCCCCGCTTCCAGCAGCGAGGAGGAGGAGGGGGCCGCAGCCAGTGCTGTGAGCCCAGGGAGGTAAAGCACCGCCCGGGGGGCTTCTGCCGCGGGCACCTTTGCTCCCCTGTGTGGAGCGGGAGGCGGCTGGGGAGAGGCTGCTGCGTCACTAAAGGCATCAAGCGATGCAGAAGGAGTGTGACGTCTTTAAAGATTAAAACCCCCGAAGAAACCGTAAGCGATAAAGTGTCTGAGCACCCCACGGGGAGCCCAGCCGAGCGTCGGGCACCGCTCCCGCACAGCCCCGGTGCGGATCGGCGCTGGCAGCGGCGCCGGGCGCTGACCCCGCAGCGCTGCGCCTTACTCCGAGGGCTTGTTTTTATTTTGGATCAGCTGGTCCCAGCAGATGGAAGGGGATCCCTACTGTCAGTGCCAGCAGTAATTAACAGTGCTTTGTGAGTGGAGTTGTGTGCGGCATAGGAACCTTGAACAAAAATGCCTGACTCAGTTAATTTTTAACTTGTGTGATGTATTTAATGTGCCGGCTGTACCCATACACTAGAGACGAGAAAAATGAATTTTAATGCTTTCAGTTTGGTGATGAAACATCTTGTGATTGAGGAAGAAAATTCTCATTATAATGTTGTATGATTAACTAGAAGGAGATTGTAAAAAATATTTTCCTCGTAGTTTTTGCTTGAATATTTTTTACCTTTTGGCTCTATTTTTTTTATATCTTTTTGCTCTAATGACAAACACTGCAAAGTGATAGAAATGTTCCTTGACTTGGGAGGTGCCATCATTGCTGCTGTTACAGACACTGTTACTGTTGCATTCAGTGCGGTGAGGAGCACTGACAGCTTGTGATGTCCATGGTTGGAAAGTAAATGTTGTTTTGCTGCTCTGGCTCCGGTACACACCAGTGTGTGCTCCAAGCTCGAGATTCGGCTTCCAAGAACCCTGAAGTGAAACCAAGGGTGATAGAGTACACTGGCACTCCACCACTGGCTCTGCATGGTGGAGTTGGTGCAAAGTTTTTCATCCAAGTGCCAAATAAGAATCCTGCTCTTCCTAGAAGTGGAAGATTTAAGGCTAATATGACATTTTCATTGAGATCATATAATCTTTCTGAATACCTCATAGTTAAATGTAAGAGCCAAAGTTTTGCAATCTTTCCCTGGAGAGAAGACTTAGGAAACATCAATCAATCTGGGTCCTAGAATCAGCTCATTAGTATCACAATGAGCAATCGGTATTTGTCATTTTATTTATTAAGGTCATGAAACATGGTGTTCTTTTTGGGCAGAGTGATCTGCAGATACAAAACAATTATTCCCCATCCTGTGAGGTTACCTATGGACATTCCTTTGCGAATCTGTAACACGTGGCCTAAATATACTGGGACTGTGGGTACATGATCAAGTCAGTGTGCATAATGTCTGGCTACTGCTGAATGGGAGGATCCACTCCTTTTCCTACTCCCTAGCAGTGTAGCCCCATCTCTTCCCTTGTGCCTGCTCATGTACTTCTTGCACTTCCTGAAAGCAGATCCAGTGTGGTAATCAGGTGGGTAGGTTAGTTTTCTGATCTGCTGACTTCCAGAACCCCCAGAAGATAGGTGGTGGGAATGTGGAGCCAGGAACAAGAACAGGAGGTGGTAGAGAAGAGGTAAAATCTCCCATTTGTGTATCAGTGAACTGTTGGGTGAGGTGGAACTGTATTGTAAAAATTGTCTTTATCTTCCCGCAGATTTTTATTAACTTTGTTTCTCTGTTGGGACAATCTATGCAAAAAGTTAGTTTTCTTCAGTTCCCAGACAACAAAAGCCACAAAATAAGTGATAGAAAACTGGCCAGTAGACAAGTTTTAGCCAGCCCCACTGTCCAAGGCAAGTGTAAAATGAAAATGTGGCAGGTTTTCAGGATCAAAGACAGGCTATATCAGCAGCCTTTGGGGCAGGCAAACAGATGATAGAAAGCCAGCACACACATGCACTCAAGGAAACACACTGTACTCTATTCTTAGTGATGCTTACAACTGCAAGATTAGCCCCCAGCGGGAGTGATGCAGACAGACAGGTGATTATGTGTGTATTTGGGTGAAAGTGCATGTGAACAAGTGTTGCATACTGCAGGATGAACACATAACTTTGGAGTAAAAGTGTAAAATGAAACTGTGAGCATGGTGTTACACAAACCCAACCAAATGTAGGTATTTAAAGCACTCTTGTACTAGACCAAACAACACGTGTATCTAAAGACTTACCAGAGCTGCTTAATTTAAATTCCTTACAAGGTTCCTACTGCCCATCTCGCCCCAGCCTCATGCGTTGCCTCATAGCTCTCGTTCCTGTGTTGCACATCTGTCCCTCTCTGGCAGGGACTCGATGCAGTGAGGGCTAAAGCTATTTGAGACACATCTTGGCAAGCCTGGCTTTGCACACTGGCACTGCTGGTGGTGGGGATGGAAGCCCTGTGTCCCCTTCCCCTCCCCAGGCAAGTGCCCACTGGTTAGGGGAAGGAGAGGAAGAGGACATAGAGTTTTTTTTTCATTCTCCTTGCTCCTGTCCCTCGGTTTCTTGTGATGTGTGTTTCACCTTTGCGAGGTCAGGAGCTCTGCCCAGATGTGTGCTCTGTCAGCTGGCACCCAGGAGGCTGGCTGCTGGCATAGGCTAGGATGTAGATACTGGTCCATAGTGGGCATGATTTATGGAGAAAGAAACAGGATCTTGAGGTATATTTCAGCTAACATGGTAAATTTTTACATCCGATAGTGTCCTTTGTCCTCTATACCCAGCAGCTGTCTGAGCAAATGTCTAACTCTACCTTTGGTTACTAGAAACACATTTTTTAAAGTGACGACATCTGAAGTTTGGGTCTCGACAAGCCTTTCAATTATCAGTGTGACATATCAGAACAGATCCTTTGGCAGTTTCTGCTGCCATGCAGAAAGTAGGAAGAGCAAGGCAAGAGCCAGGGTGGGCATGATCAGGCTGTGGGCTTTGCAGGCACTGATGGCCCTGTAAGGACAAACTGCCAGGGCTCTGGCTGCCTAACAGCTCCAACCACCCAAAAACCCGGCTCTTCCTCTGTTCTGCTGCAGATTGAGAGACCCTCTAAGTTGCTCAGTGGTGCACTCTCTTTTGAGGAGGCTGAAGTGATGAGTATGGAACTGTCTCCTGGAGAAACTGTGAGCTGTGCTTGAGAGCATCCTGGGGCTTTCAGCTTCCTTGGAACAGGGAGAGCCCTTTGAAGCCTCCATCCTACTACATCCCTGCCTGCAAATCCCTGCCTGGTACAACCCTGGGAAATGAATGTCCCTGGGCTTCCTTGGCCTTGCTAGGAGTGCCTGAAGAAAGGTGTCACATCCTTAGTGCTTTGGATAATCATTGTTGGAAGCTTAATAACAAGAACATAAAACGGCACTACTGAAGTTCATAAGAATTTTATCAGAGGCAGAACAATTCCAAGCTCATTTCCCTCCTGGTTGAAGGCAACAGGTTGTGGCCGTTTCAGCGCTGTTTGGCAGAAGGATTAAAGTATTATCTCTCGCTGGGTTTGAGTATTAACTTGATTAGAGCTGATCTTGCCCTCTGGCAACCAAAAGCAGTTTCAGTGGGCATGTTTTGATATACATGCTGGCTGCCTGTCTTACAAGTTAAGGGTGTCTGAAATCTTCCTTGTCTGCTAATTGTTTCTTGATGCCAACTTGTCACCAAAATCTCATATATCTCCCAAGGGCTATATTTCTTGCAGAAAATATGCCTAATAATTCAGGAATCTTCAGCTTTCAGTTGACCAAACAGCAATATTGAAACAATGCCTATTTTTTTCCTTTTTTTTTTTTTTTTTTGTAAATCAGAAATTGCCATTGTATATATAGTGCACTTCTCTGTAGTATGTGTAACTTAAATGACACTTAATGTCTCTGCAGACTCTTTATCACCAGCTTTCATGAGAAGCAACACCTTTCCCAGTTCACACGTCTGTTAAATAGTTGACTAAATAATGATGAGACTTGTTAGATGAGCCAGTGATTTTGGCGGAATAGTTCTAATTCATCATGGTCTTTCTTTCTGCTTGAGGAAATATGAAGCATGTTTCTTAGAGATTTTTCTTTCTTTCAAAAGAGAGAAAGGGCAAGATATGATTCAACAAAACTTTGTTTGCCTTTTTATCAGAGTTTGTTTTATGAATTTTGTCTTACGAATGAGCTTTTACTTGGTAAACAGCTACAAATTTTGAAGTTGTAAGACAAAACCAGTTTTCACTGGAACATTATCACTTTAAGAAGACAAAATGGAGTGCCTAACTTTCAGAGTCATGGACCTATAGGTCCGTAACATTTTTTCTTCCTCTGAGCAATAAATAGTCAACTTATTTTCATGGTGGTAAGATTGAAAGTTCATTGGCACTCTAAGGTTCAAAGAGCCCAGGGCACATAATAGTAACAGTTTCTAGAGCAACAATGTCAAAAGACCCTTAGTGTTAATGTATTGCTATGATATAGAATTATATAAACTGTATAGTTACAAAATTTATTAAATGCTATTACTGTGTTTGAAAGTGTGTTAACACTCTAGTGTAAGCTTAGACTCTAAAAGGACCGTAAGGATTTGAGATATACAGTTGTATAGAAGTCACTTCTTCTCATCAGCTCCTGACAGATCTTCAGCTATTAAACAAATGTTTATGACATTTGAAGAGACAGAATTCATTAGGATGAGATTTTATAATCTGCCTGGCCCAGCCCAATATTGTATTTCCACCTAAAGGGATGATATGTTTTTCTACCCCATGCACCTTTTTCTTGCAACGTCCTTAGTCCTTCACTAGTGATTGCATTT